AGATGTGTTGTGCCCTCTCTGGGGACCTCCTGACATTTGGGATTAGCTGTGACTTTAATGAAAGGATACTATAACCTAGTTCTCTGTCCTAGCGAAAGACAACCTCCAGTACACACACACACACACAAGACTTAACAAGGAGAAGACAACAGAAAACTCAAGATAAAAGTATGAATACCCTTACGTCGGGTCTGTGATTTGTGCAAACATCGTGCCAGCGATTGGCAGAACCCAGCTTGAGACTGAGTGACGAAAGGGTAGCTGCTTCTCTCTAAACATCTCATGCCCAGTTCACTCTCAGAAAAGGGTGTGTGCGTGTGTGTAAGCTAAAGTCTCTACCTGCCATGTAGGCTTCAGGGTTAGACAACGGCGTTTCCACTCCACCTTCCTCAGTCCCACTACAAACCGATGTGGTGGAGAGAGAGATTGCTGTGCACCCTCCCCCTTCCCTCCATCTTTAATATTGAGGCTAGAGGCCTCTGGAAAACTACCTTCCCAGAAGTATGCTCCAAACCTCCACACGGTTTGGATTGAGACATTTAGAGGTCAGTCTTTCAAACTGCCCCAAGGAGAAAACTCAGTTTCAAAAATGTCTTCCTCCTCCACTACGAGTCGTGAGGTCTTCCCAGTTCCTGTCTTCTACACCTACTTTCTCTAAGTCAAGTGACCGCCTATGAAAAGGTAGCAGGAGACAGTTCTTATTCCCAAAGGTTTTCCTTTCTAATACATGTTTGCCTGAGAACAGTCTACACTTTCTCGTAGAATATTCTAGTAAGTGCATCTACAGAAACAAGGTTGAGGTGTCTTGTTGAGGTTGCAGACTCACATTCAGACACCACGGCTTGTTGACGTTGTGGAGGCCTGCATAATTTTTTTTTTAAGAGAGAGGTCTTGCTATGTTGCCTAGGAGGGACTTGAACTCCTGGAGTCAAGTGATCCTCCTGCCTCCACCTCCCAAGTTGCTGGGACTGCAGGCACATGCCACCATGCCCAGCTTGACAAACTAGAGTTTAAATTAATTATGGTATCCTCTCTCCTTGATGATGAATCAAGATGATGAATCAAGAGCGGCTTAAATTAGTTTCAGTCATTAGGGGGGGATCCTGCCATTTCTAGCCTCATCTAATCAATTAATAGACCTAGTTGGGACACGTTCTTACCATGTTGTTCCGAAGAACTAGCTCGCTTGGCGTCATTTAAAACTACATGTCAATAGGATGAAACTTAATTCTGCTTCTATTCGTATACTATCACTTCTCTAATTACCATTAGTGTTAGGAGAATCTTGGGAACTTCAATGCATTTGTTTTTTCCTGGGGTCTTTAATCATCCTGTCTGCTACTCATATATAAACTGCAACTTACCTGAGTGACAGTCACCCCTCCGGCCCACTGGACCAAAGAAAGAAAGCGTGATTTGTGTATACTGCTGTATAAGCCATGACTAACATATAGGTTAGTCTGAAAGCTTGGAAGACCTTCCAGGGTAGCTGTGGGGTTGGAGTCCCAGTATCAGTCTTTCTGTCCAGGTGGGGCCAAACAACTGAACTCTGGAGATTTTATAAGACTCAGACCTGAATCTTCAAGTCATTCCTCCCGGTAAAATGTTCAGTGCTGTTGTCTGGAGGTGACTATGACTTCCTTCACAACTGGCCTCCATATCCTAGGCAGCGTGTCAAAATTGATACCTGTCATTTCTTTTGGTCCTCAGCAACCCTATGGGATAGGTTCATCCTTATGCCCATTTATGCCAGGGATATCCAGAAAACAAATAACATAGGCAAAGAGAGTGGAACTAAGAACTAGAGTGCAAGTCTGTTTCATTTCAAGGCCCCGTGGTATGTATTAGTTGTCCTGGTTAATCCTGCAGGAGCTACAGTTGGCGATTTTAAATAAAACATTAAATAGCATTAGCATCAACGATAGAGTTCACTGTCTTTCAGGAGTTAAAATTTGTTCTGCCATTTAAAAGTGGTAACTCAGGAAAAACTGCGAAAATAGACATAAAAACTGTGATTATGAAACATGGAGACCAATTTTAAAAATAGAATTTACAAAACCAAATGGGTTCTTTTAAAGTATAGTCTGGAAAGTACAGCAATGATTCCATTGCTCAAAGCATTTTTTAGATTACTATTTATGTACCATCAATGCCTGTTTACAAGAAAATTAGTCTCATAAAATGACAGCAACATCTTGTATTTTCGGTAGACTTAATTGGTTGCTTAGGTTGAAATGTTAAGGGGATTAAAATCAAGGTGGGATTAGACAAAAGCTTGTTTCAAATGTGTGAAGAGTATAACTCAAAGAGAGAAAGCATAATTAGCATATGTTGGTATAAGCCATGACTAACAAATGGGTTGTACCATCTCCAATGATGAATAGTTGAATCTCAAATGGATTTCTGAAAGCTGACATGTTAGTCAAAAATTCACTATTGAACAGAACCTAGTAGAGAATCATTTTATGACACTAGAGTTGTATATCAAAGTTTCCCAGTCCTAAGACCTGGCTCCACCTTCCCAGATGCAGGGCCATTTTACAGTTCCCAAACTGGAAATATACCTTATGGTTCAAGTTGGAGGGAGTTAGTCAACCATTTCTCAGCCAACCTTGAGAAACTATTGTTAACAGTGAATCCTATGAATATTCAAGAGCCATGATTTGTATTTTACAAAGAAGTCTTCATGAGCATTAAAACTTTTCTTCAAGCTGGGCTCGGTGGCTCAGCCTGTAATCCCGCGCCTTTGGGAGGCTGAGGTGAGTGGATTGCCTGAGCCCGCGGGTTCGAGACCTGCCTGGGCAGCAAGACCTCATCTCTACAATAAATCAAAAAAAAAAAATCAGCCAGGCGTGGTAGCGAGCGCCTGTAATTCCAGCTACTCAGAAGGCTGAGGCGGAAGGATTGCCGGAGCCCAGCAGGTTGAGGCTGTGGTGGCCGGGAGTGGCCACTGCACTCCAGTCTGGGCGACAGAGTGAAACTCCAACTCAAAAAAAACAAACAAACAAACAAAAAACTTTTCTTCAGAGAACATAATTGAAGCCTGGTGATGGCTGCACTCAGAGGCTCACTTGGTCTTTTTCAACAAGTCATTTCATAAATTGTATGGTTTTTTTTCTAATCTTAAATTTTCACTTCTACTATATGAATAAAAATATCACTAAGAGAAAGTAGGGAGGGGAAAAAAATAAAGCATCCTCTTGACGTAAAACCTGGTCCTGACTTTCAAGTGTCATGAAAGCTTCATGATGGCTGTCAGGAGGCAAGTCTGGGGAGGTGAGGAGAACTAAGAGTGGGGAGACCAGGCCCAGCAGCACTGCCTGGACTCACCCTCCCTCCTGAACAAGTGCTGCCAAACCACCATGGATGGCTCAGTACATGGCTCATGCCTGTAATCCTAGCACTTTGGGAGGTGAAGGTGAGAGGATTGCTTGAGCCCTGGAGTTCGAAACCAGCCTGGGCAACATTGTGAGACATCGTCCCTACAAAAATAAAAAAATTAGCCAGGTGTTGTGGCACATTCCTGTAGTCCCAGTTACTTGGGAGGCTGAGACAGAAGGATTGCCTAAGTTCAGATGGTTGAGGCCACGGTGAGCAGTGATTGTGCCACTGCACTACAGCCTGGGCAACAGAATGAGACCCTGACTCAAAAAAAAAAAAAAAAACACCATGGAGGACGATGTAATGCACCCAGGCTCTCACTGAGGCTCAGCTTTCAACCACAGGCTGAAGCAAACAAAAGCTGGTCCACACTCGGAAGCAGAGGACCTGGGTAACCAGACCTTCCTTTCCACCACAGAGCTCTCCGTGGGGTAGGGGATGCTCTGCTCACTTGAGAACAGAGACGTGGGGCAAGAAGAAGGAGATACTCCCCTCCTCCCATGTTTATGAAGAAAAGGACATGCCACATCCTTTCTTGGTCCCGAACATGGTCTTTGGAAAAGACTTTTTGGAAATGATAAAAGGATGTTCAGAGGCCAGGCTTTTGACTGTGTGGTGGACTCCAAGTGCATCTCAAAGCAGCAGCCAGAAAGACTGTGGCGGTCCTACCTTCTCCCCCTGGCAGGCTGACAGTCATACTGCCGAGTTTCATCTTTTTCCTGGAATTCAGTGGTCAAGAAAGAGCCCTGCCATTTCCAAGACAAGGGCCCATGTCCTGTGGGGATTCTGGACACAGAGTGAGGAAGTGGAGTGCCCTCGTAGGCCCAGGGCTCATGTCAAAATAAAGAGCCAGCCTGAGCATGAGCAGGGAACTGTCAGACCACAAGGGTGACCTTTAGTGATGGAGACAGGGTGGCCTCACAGGTGTTTCCTTTTGTTCGTTAGGCTGTGCATTTTAAGGATAACTCAAGAGTGTCCTAAACCAGGTTCTATGTGTGGGAGAAATATATGTTTGCACTTATTTTCCTACCATGCTATAATTAGATTCAAATTTTCTTTAAATTAATAAGCTCCCTTTTATCAATCATGAAATGAAGAAAACCATCTCTCAACTATTAGAACTATGAACCAGGACACAAACAAGGACAATTCTCTGAAGGTTTGGATTCAAGATCTTCAGATTTGTTATTTTGTATTTAATTTTATCAAAACCTCGTTCTAATCTAGGCTCTGTTACAAAATATCTGAGCACATCACTTAAGCTCTCTGCTAACGAGGCCATTGGACTTCAGGATTTCTGATGTCTTTCCAACTTCAAAATTCTATCTTGGAAGACACATTCTCAAGCCAATGATTAAAAGAAGCTTATGTTACACTATTTCACTTTGTTGGCAAAGAAAAAACAGATGTTCCTTAAAAAATCATTCTCTATGCCCTTCTTACTACTTTGCTGTTAAGAAGACTGGTGGTGACAGCCCAGGCAGGTTTCACACCAGTGCCTTCTCCAGTCATTCCCATCTAATCGGTGCCACTTTAAAAAGTATCAGGAGGTCAAAGGAGATAGGAAGGAGCTTCTGCCTAAATTATCAACTTTTTACTTTTATAATGATTTAAGCTCATTACAATTTTAAATTATATATGTTTATTTCAATTAAAATGTTCACAGACTAAAAGATGGTATTTTATTAGAATCAATGTATAAGAAGTTTGCAATACTCATTTCTCATGAAAAATAAAAAGGGAGAGTGAGAGAAGGTAATCATTAAGATTTGTGGACCTGAGTGACCACGAAAACAGATCTCTTCCTGCAAACCAAGCACACAGAGACACACCCGCCTGTCTAGCAGCAGCATCCGGATGATGCATTAGATAAAGACCCAACATCCTGTGTGGTATTTGGAATGCAGGGTAAGGCTCACAGCTCATGAAGGCAGGATTCAGGTGCTGCTCACTGCAACACTTTGCAGACACACCACATCCATGCCAATGACTCGTGACTGACTGTCCCATGCAGTGACAGTGAACTGGGCATACTCTCACTCACTCTTGGAGGAAGCACTTTCCCTTTTAAGAGAGAATGAATTCAGGCAATTCTTTACAAAAATGACAAGGTTCAAAAGAAATGTTTGCTCCAAGGCACCAAGGGTGTAAGGCTTTTTAGAAAACACACAGAAATGAACAGACTAAAAAAGGGAATTAGTTCTCAATGGAGAAATCTGTTACCTACTGTAACTAGTGTAGACAATTACTTCAGATCAATTACAATAAAATGCACATGAACAGACTGCACTGTGAGTGGGAATGTCAGGCTAAGAGCATTCCTGTGGGCACTCAGGGTGCTGGCTGGGATGCACTCAGGGGTTTCTTCTCAGGGACAGAGAATCTGCACATCATTTGTACTTGTAAAATCCTTCTCCAGTCTTCTTGCCAAGCTTCTTCTCCGCTACCAGCTCATTCAGGGTTGGGCTGGGCTGAAATACGGGGTTCATCGCATCCATTTCATGCCACCCTATTGCAAGGGGGGAAAAGGGGCTTAGAACAAAGTGCTGGGCTATTTTTACATCTTGACATTCCCAGGGCAAGTCTGGAGGCAAAGCATGAGGAGGAGGGTCCCTCCTCTGAAGTGGGAGAGCACCCTGGGCACAGTGCCGACTCAGGCCACCACAGCAGAGGCACCAGGAGAGCTGCACAGGTACAGCCATGTCAGCCCCAGAGCAGGTGCACTGCTCATACCTGTGCTGAACGAAGCCTGGCCCTGTTATGACTCTCCTGTTTATCCAGTTTCTCTCGGGAAACCACTGAGGCTGAAAGTCCAAGGACACTAACAGAATCCATTAGCTTGCTGGTTGGACTCCTCAGTGGTACAGTTAACTTTCAGAATACATGTTAAAAATCTGAATTCCTACCACTGGTATTGTGTATCCTCATAAAATTCAAAACTTTACACTCCAGCTAGAGCCCTCCCAACTCCTCCCAAAGACATAAGCATTCTTTGTGAAACTTGGGACCATGAGGTACATTCAACTTCAATTGTCTGGTTTTAATAATTAGTTTTACTGTCTTCAGAGCCACTACATTAAAATCGATATTTTTTTTAAATGGCTGTGTATCTGGATTGCAATGGAAGTTACACAAATTAATTCACGTGATAAAATGACCTGGTATACCAATGTTATTTCCTGGTTTTAATTTTGCACTATGGTTATATAAGACATAACCATTGGGAGGAGCTGACTCAATGGTACATAGGACTATTTTTGCTATATTTGCAACTTCCTATGAATCCATAATTGTTTCAAGATGAAAAGTTAAAAAAAAAAAAGATTACCCCATACAATAGGCAGTCATATTTTTCCTTCTCCTGACATCTGTTAACTTAGGGGTCCCCAGACCCTAGACCACAGACCGGTATTGCCTGTGGCCTGTTAGGAACCCAGCCACACAGCAGGAGGTGAGGGTGGGCAAGCAAGCAAAGCTTCATCTATATTTACGTGGCTCCCCACCGTTTGCATTACTACCTGAGTTCCACCTCCTGGAAGACCAGCACTGAAAAGTCTGCTTCCATTTCCAACATCCTATCTTTGTGAAGCAGGGTTTTCTGCAGAAATGGCAACCGAAACGAGATTACAGAGTAGTCTGGGCATAAGCAATACACTTTGGGGGACACTTTCTCCATTGCCCCCAGATGGAACTGCCTAGTTGCAGAAAAACAAGCTCAGGGCTTCCACTGATTCTGCATTATGGTGAGTTGTATAAGTATTTCATTATACACTATAGCATTATAATAATAGAAATAAAGTGCATAATAAATGTAATATACTTGAATCATCCTGAAACCATACCCCCAGCCCTGGTCTGTGGAAAAATTGTCTTCCATGAAACCAGTCCCCAATGCCAAAAAGGTTGGGGACCACTGTGTTAACTTGAACCTTGGAAGGTCTTTGCTAAGAGACCTGATAATTTCTGTTTTAATTATAGGCATTATAATTCATAGTTCAGAAGAATGACCTCAACTCAATTAAAGAAAGACAACAAAGAATTCCAAGCCCTACCGTCCATGATGAACTTTGTAGTATCCAGCCCAACATAGTCTAAAAGCTCAAATGGGCCCATGGGATACCCGGCTCCTAACTTCATGGCAGTGTCAATGTCTTCCTTGGATGCATCACCTGAGGAGAAAGGGCAGCACTGGGTCACCACCATCTTTCCTATAAATCTCCCTATCATGGGGTTAGTCCAAGAATTACTAGAATTTCATATACTTGCATATTCAAAAAATGGCTAGAGTCAAAATTTCTTTTTTCAGAGGTACATGCTGAATAGGTCACAAGAGTTTCAAAGCTACTGCACCACTGTTCATGGAGAGAGAAAGCCCCAGTGCCTGGAAAAGGGCCATTAGCTACTTACAAATGGATTGGCGTTTTCCAACTCTAGAATAATTAATTTTAAAGTATCATTTAAAGCTATATTTTCATTGAAATATCATTTAAAGCTATATTTTTTATTCATAATTGGGCTTTTCCAAAAAAGAAAAGAACTAAGCCTTCTGTTTTTCTATGTCCTGTATGTATACTTTTCTTTTCCAGCTTTCTTGGCTCTCCAAGTATTGAGTATTCCCTTGGAATCACATTCACATAAACTCTTCAGACAAGATAACTGTTTAAAGAATAGCCTGAACCTGATTTAGAATTGCCATGTGTGTTTGAAAGCGTGTTGAGTAGACTAAGATGAGGGTCAGTGCACTTTTCCCTTGGATTTTTACTCTTAACATGTTGTCCTTGGGCCACAAGAGGCCTTTACAGAAAACAGCCTGTTCCCTTTCTTCAAAACCATAAACTGGAATAGCCTGTAACAAGTGGCTACTAGAATTTTGTTCCAAAGCACAAAGAAGCAATCAATCACACCAAGCTAAATAGAAAAGGAAAGTGGTGGGGGGTGAGGGAGGAGGAGGGAGAGTGCTAAAACACTCAGAAAGAGTTTCATACCAAAAATTTCAGATGTTTAGGCACAAGGAGCAGAAACTCTTACATATCGATAAAGACTACATATTTAAAAAGCATATAAAGTAGTAAAGTAATGTCAAAGGATTTCAAGGCAGTTTAAGGTGATTAGAATATCACTCAGTTATTTTTTTATGAGTGACATTATTAATACTACACTAATTAGGATTCGACTTCTGGGAAATCACAATTTGAGTTTCAGGCCATAAGAAAGCAAACAAAATACAAATCCATATATGAGCCTTATCAGGCAGCCTCATTCATTTACTCATTCATTCAACTTTTATGTAGATCTATTACATACATACCAGGCACCCGGGACTTAGGATGGGACAAAGGAAAAAAGATGAGACTTAGGATGGGACAAAGGAAAACAAGACAAGCACGCAATGTACTCATGATATAACAGAAGGACTCAGATGTCTCAACCAAAAATGTCAACCTTGCAAGTGCTGAAGAGTCATGAAGGTTTACACAGTTGTGTGAGCAAATATGGAGAGATTTACTCAGACTGCCAGAACTTCACTAGAACCACTCCCTAGGCCTGAGTCCTGAGGGATGAAGAAAGACTCCTAAGGCACAAGCAGGTAGAGGAGGACATTCTAGGCAGAGAGAATGGCTTGTGCAGAGGCAGGAATTAGAGGGAACATGCCATCTCTGGGAGGATTTCATCAGACCATGAGGCTCTGTGCTGGGAAAGTCCCCCCAGTGCTGGAAGTAATGGCTGGGCAGGCTCCTACTTTGGGTCTCAGCACCTGCCTCCATGCTGGGGCACTGCCCTCACACAGTTAAGGCTCAGCCTCTCACTTCCTTCAGGCTCTGCTCGGGTGTCACCACCTCAGAGAGTCTCCTCCTCCTCCCTACATATGGAACAGCAACTCCCTGGGCTCCAGGTTAGGACTCCTGCCATCCCTGGACTTTATTATCTTCTCCACAATTACTAGCCACAACATAACATGTCCATGCCCCAGCTCCTATACAATGGGTAGTCACCCTGGTGATGGAAAGCTGAAAGCATAATGGTTCTAAGTTGCTTATATCCATTAATTAAATCTATATTAAAGGACAAGATAATGAACCCTAGAAGCAAGACTCTAATTCCAGATTCTGAGACTCACTTAAGGACCATTTTATTTTGAAATATAGTTTGAAGATACAGCACATCATAGAAAAAAAACTAAATAGTTCTACAAAGTCAGCATAACTCTACAAATTTTGTTCTGAGTAATACAGAGCAAAGGAGGCAAAAAGGGAAGAAATAAAAGATGCAAACACAGATCACTGTGCCAACTAAGAGTTAAATGTGTAATCAGGTTTTATACCATTCCTAAACTTCTTTAGAGTCAAGTATTTCTCTGAGAATCTGACAGCCTCTCCATAAAAAAAAGCATGTATATGTAACATGCTATCAGCCTTAGGAAAACTCTGTCCTGCTGCTAGTTAAAAGCCTCTAACTCTAGTTAGGGGCTGCATCAGTCTTAGGAGAACTCTGTCTGCCTCTAGGTAAAAGCCTGACAAAGCAGAGCTTCTTCCGTGAGCTCCAAATCTGCAGGCTGGAGCCTGGGACCCACTCACACCTGCTGCTTTGGCTGGCTTGGCAGCAACCCCTACCACCCAACCTCAGCATCAACAGTAGAGGCCCCAGCGCCCTGATCAGACACACCATCCTGCATGCTTCGTGTTTCCTAATTGCCTGTCCTATGCAAACACTCTGGGGAGAATGAAGATGAAGAGGACCCAGACACTGCCCTAGAACAGCGAGTACAGTGAGAGAGGGGGAACACATGTTGTGCCACAGGAAGGAGTGGCAAGGGCCAGAGGGAGAGCCAAAGCCTCAAGCTGTGACAACAGAGATCACGTCCAACCTGGAGTGCCATGGACACTCAGGTGAGAATGGTGGAATAAGTCTGCGGAGATGGCAGGGCAGAGGGTGAGAAGGAAGGTTCTCTGGCAGAGCCTATATGTAGCAGGTCACCATAGATCCACTGAGATTGTCCTGAACAGAGGGAATGCTATAAGCAGGATGTCGCACAGTGACTGGGGACAGGCTCACGACCCTTCCAGGGCCAGCTACCAGCACACCCCCTCAGCAGAACTGACCACGTGGTCTGCCACCCTGCTAGTGCTGACCAGCTGGAGTGAGTGCCTAGCAGGGGCAGTAGTCCATTGTTGGGCACCAGCCTGTCCAGCCTCTGTCCCTCTCACCCACACCGGTGAGAGTGACTGGTGCATACATCAGGCCTCAGTCACCAAGTATAAAAGAAAGAGAGCAAAAGAAAGGGAGGACAGAGCTGGAGACACTGAAAAAAGGTCCATCACAAGGTGCAGTCAGACAGTAGAGGCAAGAGAGGGTCTATGGGGAGTCGGGAGAAGTGCTGCCAGCAGGGCCTGACCGGACAGGCCCACACATTTTTCCAGTGAACTCCACCACTCATGACAGCAGGCAGCAGGCTATGGATGGAGCACCCAGGCCCCAGCTGTGTCAACAGTCGGGCACAGAAAAGTTCTTCCCACATGAGTCCAGACTAAGGTCACAGAGACTTTGCCATGCTGCTGGACCCCAAGACACCTCCAGGGGGTATGTGCGCAGATACAGTATGCAGTGTTCCAACCTCCTGGAAAATATGACACTTTCATAGCAAGTAGTGGTGGAGACTGGTCTGGAGAAGACATGAGGTTGGTTAGCTGTGGTATAATCCCACCACTTTGGGAAGCCAAGGTTGGAGTTCAAGACCAGCCTGGCCAACATAGTGAGACCTTGTCTCTACATAAAAACACAAAAATTACCCTGATGTAGTGGCACAAGCCTGTAGTCCCAGCTACTCGGGGTGGGGGGTCGTAGGGAAGAGGCTGAGATGGGAGGATTGCTCGAGCCCAGGAGGTCGAGGTTGTGGGATTGTGTCAGTGCACTCCAGCCTGGGTGAAAAAGTGACACTCTGTCTGAAAAAGAAAAGAAAAGGAAAGAAGAAAAAGAAAAGACAGAAGGTAACATGAATTCCCTTGCTTCCTGAGGGAGCCTCCCTAAGGCAACCTGACTGGAACAGGGAGAGCTGGGATAAAAAAGGAACAGGTATGACAAGGGGGAATCAAACGTGTTGAAGAGACATAGCAGGCAAAAGAGGGAGCATTCAGATGCTTCTGGCTTTAAAGTGGAATCACTGCAGTTGGGTCAGAGGCTCAGAGCAGTGAACAGAGACAGGCGCAGGTAGCGTCTAAGCACTCCTCTGTGTTGGCTGAAGGGAGGGAGTAGCCAGGCAGCAGAAGGACATGGTGAGAGGCTTGGGGTGTGACACAGTTCAGACCATAGTGTGGACTGGAGGGAGGCAGTCCCCACTCCAGACAGGACACCCAGTTCCTTCAGAAGCAGATGCCCTGGTTCACAGGCCCTGAGAAAGCTGTGGAAAAAGAGGCAAAGGGGCCTATAGTGGCAGGCTATCAAGGGTAGCACCAATGCACGCTAAGAGCATGTCCCTGTGGGGTCAGGTCCTGCCCTGCCAGCTTCACCTCACAGGTGACCAGTGATGGTGAGGACAAAAGGGCATCCATCCACCTATGCAGAAAGGCACTGCTGCTGTTGGGGAGCCAAGACAAGACAAGGACTTTCCACTTTCCATCAGACACTTGGTACATCTGAGAGTATATCAAAGGGACACACTGTGTTTCAGTGAGAAAAACACCATGAAGAGGTGGATCAGCCACATGCCACATTCTGAAACATTATATATATTTTTTTAAAACTACACAACTGCCTTTTAAGGTAGGACAAAATGTTTCACACTTTCTTTGAGGTGTAATTAGGCATATTTGTTGATAGATAAACACAGAAGTGTTGGTTTGATCTTGGAGCAAAAGTGAGGCAATTGCTTCCATAAACCATAGAGAAAAGTTTTAATATTTAAAGCAGATTTTGAGGAAGCAAATGTGCTTTCATCTCTCTGGAAGAGCTGGTGTAAATGTTTTGTTTCAAAAATGACATTCTTAGGAGTGAGCATTTGTGAATGAAGTAATTGAAAACAATTATACTTGCTTTTTATCCAGTCCTATTAAGGCTTGCTCGCCTTTGAAGCAGACATGATAGTTACCTTTCCAGAAATAGGGAGGGGAAGGCCGGCAGAAGGATGCAGATCAACATAGAACCCAGGACCCTATCCCAAGTCTGATCTTTCTACAACAGGAAAAACTAAATTCTTTGTCGATTAAGGAAAAATCTTTAGACCATTTCTAAAGGTTAAAAAAGCACATCACAGTGTCATTCAGTAAGGACAGAAACAGGTCTACTAAAAACCATCCTTGACACACAACAGCCTTGTCCCACAGTTGTCATTACCTGTCACATAGTCATGAGTTTTAGACCTTAGGAACTTTCAAGATCCCCTAGCCTAGTGATTTTTATATGATGATTATTTTCTAAAGTAGTAAACTTCTTTTTTTTTTTTTTTTTGAGTTGAAGTCTTACTCTTTCACCCAGACTACCGCAGCCTCGACCTGCTGGGCTCTGGCAATCCTTCCGCCTCGGCCTTCCGAGTAGCTGGAACTACAGGCGTGCGCTACCACACCTGGCTCATTTTGATTTATTGTAGAGATGAGGTCTCGCCAAGTTGCCCAGGCGGGTCTTGAACCCGCAGGCTCAGGCAATCCACTCACCTCAGCCTCCCAAAGTGTGGGATTACAGGCTGAGCCACTGAGCCGGGCTATAGTAAACTTTTTAACCAAAAGTAGAGATCCAGGATACTAATCTGGGTGACCTGTACAGAAGCTCTGGCTAGGCCTGTAGTGGGAGTCCCATAGCTGCTTCTCAGAGGCCTCACAAGGAAGCCTGGGGCCATGGGAACACAGTGAGGGAGGTATCAGGGCCCAGGGTGAGGCTCAGCTCACAGGGCTCCAAGTGGTCATTCCTTCCCCTTCTTTGTACTGCTGACCCTCCCTAAGATGCTGTGAAACTCCAGGCAGTGGTGCCAGAGCGGAGGCCCACTGCTCCTGCCCCAGGACTGGATAGATACCTCGTTCATACAACTTGATTGCATCCAGGAGGTATGGAATCAGGAGACGGTTCACAATAAACCCGGGAGTGTCCTGTTAAAGGAGAGAAAAACAGTAAAGATTAGTGAATTTTCATTAAACTGTATCTTTTGTGAAGTCACCAGATTGCCCTTTCATGTCCTGCACTGTTACCCACATTTATCAAGCTCTACATTTTCAATTTTTTGTTCTAAAGTTCTAGCACAGCCTTATTTCTATCTCACATGACAGTTTAACAATCAAGGTACATAAAAGAAAAAAGTCAGCCCCAGATGCCCCCTCTGCACAAATCCTGAAAGGAAGGCAGATCAAGGCACAGGAGTCACCAGAAAGAACATGGCTTTGGGGGCAGGAAGATCTGGGTTCAATCTCTGATACTCTGTCCTGTTGTCACTCTGAAACTCAGTTTCTTCATCTGTGGATGGAGGGGTTATAATCACCACCTCATTATCTTGAGACAATTATCATTATTATCTTGAGAAGATACTCGGAAAACACACACGATGCTGTGCACACGGCCCTGTACTCAAGCAGTGGCCTCCTTAGTCCTTCCCACTTCCCCCCAGGAATCTAGAAAAAGCACTACTCCATCGTGAGCAATTTTCACAGGAGGACTGCTCTCCAGGCAACCTGGAGCTGTTCCTGGGCTCTTCAGCGTCTTCTTGGGTTCCAGTGCACAACACAGTGGAGTTGAGTTGGGGCAGGTGCTGGAACAGCATGGAATTCCGAGAGTAGGCCTTTCAGGGCATGCCACCTAAGGCCCTTGCACCCTGGACGGCACCTCGAGCCACACAGCCCTTTTCAGGGATGTCCCTCCTGGCAACTAATCTAATCATCTTCCTGGGAGGACTAGTGTGGGATTTGGATTTCATCTACAGATTTCTTTTGGGGACTTGTCAAGGAGGCCAGGTTGGTACTTTTGCCAGGAAGCGGATTTCCACTAAATAAATGGAGCCTCTGTTTTTGTCAGAAGGCTGTGATCTTCCTGATGGCAGAAGACTTCACCCTGGTCTGGGCCTTGTCCTATCTCTAGTACACACCAGGCACTCCATTAACATTTCAATTGAGGATGAGCAGGTCCAGCATTCCTCACAAAGCGAACCACACTGCATGCTAGGCAACAGGAGTTGAACCTCCTTTAACTTTGGACAAGCTGAAACCAACTCCAAGCCCTATCACCACAGGAGCATAAAGATGCCCAAATGAGCTTTATCAGCTTAATCAAGGTTATGAAACGATGTTGATATTATAGGTGCGGCAAAGATACTCTTTTCAACTTCAAAAGGTTTAGAGTAGAAACTCAGGTTAAGGCATCTGAGCACAGGAGGCACACCACACACAGGTTTAATGGGCAGAAAGCAGCCTGGTAAAATATGCACTGCAATTGCAATTGTTAATATTCTCTAGAGACAGAGCTCAGAGCGTAACAAGGAAAAAGTTCTAAAACTTACTAGTAACCAAAGAAACATTCATTAGGACAAATACCATATTTGCCAACAAGATTATCAAGAGTTGTTCCCCCATTATTATGATATTCAATGCCACCGAGGACGGAGAAAGACAGATGCTCTCAGAATATAGGTGGAATGTAAAGAGAAATAGTCCAATAATAGAGCGATTTATTTTGTCTTTTTTTTTTGTTTTTAGAGTCAGAGTCTCACTCTGTTACCCAGGCTGGAGTGCAGTGGCATGATCATGGCTCACTACAGCCTCAACTTCCTGGGTTCAGACAATCCTTCTGCCTCAGCTTCCCGAGTAGCTAAGACTACAGGCATGCACTATCAGGCCTGGCTAAATTTTTGAATTTTTTGTAGAGACAAAGTCTTACTATGTTGCCCAGGCTGGTATTGAACTCCTGGGCTCAAGCGATCTTCCTGCCTTGGCCTCCCAAAGTGCTAGGATCATAGGCATGAGCCACAACACCTGGCCTCACTAATTTAGTTTTACATTATCACATCCCTTATCTTTATCAGATTTTTAATTTCTTTATTAAACACATTTTATTTACTGTGCTTATTATGTGTCAGGTACTGTTCTAAGTACTTTACAAATATTAATTCATTTATATCTCATAATAACCTCATGCAACAGGTACTATTATTATCCCTGTGTGAGGTATGAGGATACTGAGGCACAGAGACATTAAGTAACTCACCGAGGTTCACACAGTTAATAAGTGCCAGAGCCAGGATTTGAACAGAGTCAAACTAGTCCATGACCTTAACCTTCACATCACTGTCTCCCTGTGAAGTCTTACTATCAAGACACATTCCAGGCACATTAATGTCATTCTTCTGTCAGGCATTGGTAAAGTACAATATTGTAGACCAAATCCGCCCATTTTTCAATAAAGTTTTGTTGGAGCATAGCCACACTAGGGCCTGCATGTACTGTCTCTAGCTGCTTTCACATTACAACAGCAGTGCTGAATAGTTACAAGAGACTGTAGCATAAAATGTCGACTATCTAGCAGAAAAGTCTGCTGACCCTTGTTCTAGGTGGGTACCATACAGTGTCTGGATGCCTCATCAACAGCTTCAATAACTGACCCAGAAAGCCCTAAGATACCACACAGAGGAGTTCTGAAATGATCTGACAAGGACAATTATATGTGGCCAAAGAGTTCCTATTCCTGCAGCCACGTGTCCACTCCAATGGGAGAATGAATCATCGCTCTCCGCGAATTAATGATGCTGCTGAGGATAACCATTCGTTTTTTCCTGCATGTCCATTTTCATATCTTGTTTTGCCTCACCCTGATGTTCTTCCTAATCCTATTGCTACTTTCTTCCACTAACAAAGCATAAATGGGTAAGAAAGGACAGCTACAGTATCCAGTTAGTAATTAAAATCCAGATTTGAAACCACAGAACTAAACAAATACAAAAGAGTATTCAAAATGAGAGTCCCTGATAACACCTTGCTCCTGGACTGGGGGCAGGAGACAGCACATATAAGTCTTTGGCCATCAAGACCTGCCTTGACTGATGGTTCATTCAGATGATTAAGGAACAATATGTTTTTTTAATGGGTTAATACATTACTGTGAGATCAAACTGAGGAATATTTTAGAAAGCAAAAGTATTCCAAGAGAAGATCTATAATGATATAAACAATTGTGGTCAAAATAGTAGGTGGCTTACTAATAAAACCTGGTCATGATGTGACATTTTGTGACAAAACTACCTCTTTAGAAAACCTGCAAAATCATGCATAAGTGTATTCTCTAAGAGGAAATAAAGCAAAAGAGAATAATCAGAATGAAGCAGGTCATCATTTCAGCAACAAGGATGTTTATACATATAACTGCAGAGTATAAGAAAGGGAAAAAACACCAGGCTTGGTAGCTCACACCTGTAATCACAGTACTTTGGGAGGCTAAGGTGAAAGGTTCACTTGAGCCCAGGAGTTTAAGACCAGCCTAGGCAACATAGTGAAACCTTGTCTCTACAAAAATAAAAAAATTAGCCAGGCATTCCTGTAGTCCCAGCTACTTGGGAGGCTGAGGTAGAAGGATCACCTGAGCCCAGAAGGTAGAGGTTGCAGTGAGCCATCATCGTGCCACTGTCCTCCAGCCTGAGGGATAGAGTGAGACCATGACTCAAAAAGAAGAAAGAAAGAAAAAAAGCTGGAGGTCAAGCATGCTTTCCACTCAACCATGCTTCTTACTGAAAAACAAAACAACATACAACAAGAACATAATGCAACATTCCACGGAAAAACAGCCTCATCAATGCTACCTTGGGCAGACTTCCTGTCTCATCATTTCCCTAACCATCTGTAGATTCTTCCCAAAAGTAAAGCTCTGGCTTTCTTTTAGGGATGCACGTGTCTACCAGGCTTCACCTGATACATAGGGTTCAACAGAATTTAAAGTGGATTGGGCAACAAAAACCATTAATGAAAATACAGCTGCGCATCAACAGACCCAGAGAGAAGGCCAGAGTCTTCTGATCAGTTCCAATCCTGGGCTCTGTTCTGATTTGAGACTACCCAACTAATAGTCCTGTGCATGGCTTAAGAATCTGGGTTCCCTGCCTGTAGACAGCCCACTCTCTGCAATAAGCAGACAGGCCTGTAGTAAACAGTACTCCTTTGCTCACATAGTTCTCTGAGAAGAATTCCACCAGGAACAAGTCAGGTTCAAAAAAAGTACATCTTCCCCAAGCTCCCCATACTCTACCTTGCAAGAAACCGGATGCTTTCCCAGGGTTTTGCTAAAGTCTATCAGAGATTCAAATGTCTTCTGGCTGGTCATTGGTGTTTTAATGACCTGGAAATGCAAAGCAGAGAATTATGACCGGAGAGTCAGCAAACAACTTCAATAGAATGTTTCTAGGAAACATTGATCAAAAGGTTCCACATATGCAACAAAAATAATTTTAGTTTTAGCACAGAAGTAGGGATCTCAGGCTAGAAACAGTGTTTCCCTAAGTGTACATTTTAAGACAACAGAGTCCTTCAGAATGCATAAAATCAAGGCTTAAAATATGCACGCATGTGTGTGGTATGAATGTGTGTGCCAGTTTTCCAGGCTTTATTGTTGAGACAGACCTGGGTTCAGCTGCACCACCTACTGGCTCTGTGACCCTGGGCATGTTTCTTGACATTGAAATCACTCTCTCTATCTCACAGAGCCAAGGTGAGAATAACATTAGCTTGAGGTAACTGAACACAGCTCCTAGGAGGAAAGAAGAGCTCAGTAAGTGCTGGCCTTTGCTACTGCTCATTACTTGAGTGGCAACGGGGAGTCAAGAAGGATACAGTGACTGTCCTTAGCATCCTCTACATGGAACCCATCTCTCCTGCCATAAATGTGAAGGAACCCTAGGAAAGTGGAGCTTTCACCCTAGTCACAGGTCTCCTGGATGCCCACATGGGCACTGCTCCCATGACACTACCCTCTCCCACACAGACATCCAGACACCAGTGGCTTCAGAACAGACTCATCCTGAAGGGGAGGCTTTCATGCATACCAAGCAGGGCTGTGGCCAGGGCCCGTCACCCACTCCAGCAGCCTCTTGACTTTCTGTGAAGCACAGGCATGGGTGCAACTGCCACCCCGCTGGCATCTATATGAGACGGCACCAAGTATAATGCACAGTCAGCACTCAGCAAATGCTTAGAGAATGCATCTGTCGGGAAGTAGATTCTGGCAAACAGAGATACCCAGGTGAATTTAAATAAATAAGTATATTTACATGGATATACACGTACATATGTACGTGTGTGTGTGTGTGTGTGTGTGTACGAGAAAGGACCCCAGAAAACCTGAAATTACCTTTCAGAGAGTGGGCCCCTTGTAGTACAGGCTTCCTCTGCTAGGTAAGTGTTCTAGGAACCCATTGGCATCAGTGTACCAGTTAGTGTTGTGAGAGGTTTTATTTGGGTTCAGTGAATTTTTTTTTAGGCAAACAAGTGACTGATTTCTCCATGACGACAACACACCTGACCATACCTCGCTGAGTGTTCAGCAGCTTTTGACCAAAAACAGCATGACTCCCATACTTCACCCTCCTTATTCACCTGATCTCACCCTGAGCAACTTTTTTTGAGTTTCCCAGTCGAAAAAACTCCTCAAAGGGAAACATTGCTGCTGATGTGGAAGAGGCGAAACAGAAACAGCAGAAAGACTAAAAGGCATCAAAACTGATGAGCTCAAAAACTGTTTTGAGCAGTGGAAAAAGCATCTCGATAGGTATATTGTATCACTTCAAAGAGTACTTTGAAGGTGAATGAAACTTAAACATGTAGTAATAAACACACAATTTTTTATAAATAAATTCTGGTTTATTTGGGTCCCCCCCTTAGGGTGTGTGTGTGTGTGTGTATGTGTATGTGTATAAAATTTAAAGGCCAATAAAGAACTCCAACCAGTGTCAAAGCAAACAGGCTTGGCTTTGATATCAGACTCTTTACACGATCTCAGGCAAGTGCATCACCTCCCTCCTATGAAGCGGGTACTGCGATAATTGATATGTTCTCCCCTTGTAAGGGGCTGCCTAGCTGCATGAGCCAATGAGCTGGTGTTTGTGCAGGGTGGAAGGCGCTGTATAAACAAGAAGTCGTTCTCTCGCCCATGTTTCCATGTGATCACAGCCTGGCTGTGGTGGCAGTCACAACACTGAGGGGAACAAATGAGTGGAAACTTGGTAACGGAGATGAGGGACAGGAAGAGATGGGCCAGAAGCAACCTGCAGGACCCCAGCAGCCCCAGAGCTGCTCAGGAGTCTAGCACCTCATCAGTGCTCCTTGTAGAGACCTTCCACTGCTTTGGTCAGATTGACTCCTGGGTATTTTATACTTTTTGTAGTTATTATAAATGTGGTTGCTTTCCTCATTTCTTTTTCAAATTGCTTACTTTTGGCATATATAAATACTACTAATTTTTGTATGTTGATTTTGTAGCCTACAACTTTACTGAATTCATTGAACAGTTCCAACAGTTTATTGGTGGAGTCTTTAGGTTTTTTTAGGTATAAGATCATGTTGTCTGCAAATAAAAATAATTTGACTTCTTCTTTCCCAATTTGGACGCCCTTTCTCTCTTTCTCCTATTGTTCTGGCCAGTACTTCCAGTATTATGTTGAATAACAGCAGTGAGAGTTGGCATCAGAACCACAGAGTTAAGACAAAGACTGCTACCTATGGAGTTTTAAAAATAAGTTTTTAGTTTAAAGAAGTCAATAGTGAAGCTTTGCTGTTTTTTTAAAAACAGGCAATGGCTCACATCTGTAATCTAGCAACTTGGGAGGATTACTTGAGCCTAGGAGTTCAAGACCAGCCTGGGCAACACAGTTAAGAACTCATCTCTACAATCCTCCTCCCCCCAAATTATCCAGGTGTAGTGGCATGCACCAGTGGTCTCAGCTACTCAGGAGGCTGAGGAGGAAGGATCGCCTGAGCCCAGGAGGTCGAGGTTGTAGTGAAACATGATCATGACACTATGCTCCAGCCTGGGCAACAGAGTGAGAGCCCAACTCAAAAAAAAAAAAAAGCATACACATTTTAAGAGATGTTATCTACGCATTACTTTCTGAAATTGAATTAAATTATGGTAGCAATGTGTAGCATGACATTCACTCAACCATGCTTCTGCCATTTTGACTGTCCTACCTATTGCATGGTGACATTCATTTGATCAATGCCATCTTCTGAGTGAACGTCATACTTAAAATGTGTATACTTTTTTTGGCAATGGAGTATGATGCTCACTTAAAAAATGGTGCATATATGTATATATTTACTTATATACTTATGTTTATGTTTATAATATGTATAATTAGGCCCAAGGAAAGGGAACACTCAGCATAGTATACAATTTGTTTTGGTGCTCACCACCAGAATAAAAATTATTGAATACAGAAGAACACTTTTACGAAATATTTTCTAGAAAATGGTAACATTTCTATGGCTCCAAGTCAAAATTTTCAACTATATGACTACCTTATATAAGAAGTTATAGAGCAGTTATATGGCTTTAAATCAACCATTATATGAAAAACTGTTAAATAGAAAAGTAAATATTAAAAAAAGAGAAAACGGTAACATTTGCTAAGAATGAGCTGTTAACAACCAACATACTATATTTCCAAATACACAAGTAGACATTATCAGATAGATTTAGTTGAAAATATTAGAGTAAATCTACAGAATGCATCTTTAACACCAAAACAATTATGTACATGATAGAGTAACTAAAGAAATTAACTGGCCCCTAGGTACTGAAATGTGGAAAGTTCCACACCACTTTGCTCTTCTCTGCATAGGACAAATGCTGTTTTTTTGGTTCCCTGCGCCTCTCCCCTTCATTCCTCATCTTCAAAAGCAGCTTGGGGAACAGAGAAGATGGGAAGGAGCTGAGGAACAATGTTAGCAGGACTGATAAATTCCTGCTGTAAGATGGTCAAAGTTGTCACTTGAGAGAAAATACTAGATGCTAGAAAAGAAGATGTAGTCATTGTTATGATTATTGTAAAAACTTATGCTGGGCAGGGGGAGGATGAGGGAATAAAGGAGGAAAAAGCAGATGGAAAAGGCAGCAGGAAGAAAACTGGCCATGTACATATTCCCAGAGGCCATGTCCATTCCTGGAGGTGTTCCCGGCTCCATCACCCACACAGCAATGTCCCCCACACTTTGCACAGGGCAATAACTCCTCGACCTCCGGAACAAATGCTACTTTAATAGCGGCTGCTCCTCAGACCCTGTAATTAGCCCCCCCTGTGAAAAGCAAGTTGCCACATTTCAGGTGCCAATTGCCTACTGTGACTCCATCTTCACACCCCAATCTCCAAGCAAGCAGAAGCCCAAACAGGAGTATAGGGGCAGCCCTCCCTGGCCCACCCCCCCACCTCCGGGTTTGTGGTCAGAAGGCTCAAGGCAGTCGGAAGCTTTGATCACAGCACACTGATGTGCCTCATCTGGGGACAATACCAAGGCACTGCTACATGGGATCAGAATTTGCCTCTGGAATGGTGGACAGGGTAGTGTAGTCCGTCTAATGAGAAGTCCATCTACAGCACCAGGAAACTGACCTCGACGAGACAACATGAACACATATGGGTCTCCCCGCTGTGGCTGCTCAAGTCCGTAGGCTCCTGCTGCCTTCCCAGTCTAATACCTCTCTGTATTGCCCATCAGCTGGGACACAAATAAGTAAATGACATTCCACAAAGTTTGCAACCCTCCTGCATATCACTGGTCAAAACAAAAAGTAGAGGGATCCTCCCAGATATTAAGTGTTTTTCTTCCTCTGGCTTTGGAAAGGACATACTATGGCAAGAGACACCGGAGCACAGGGACAGCCTCCCCCCACCACCCCCCATTTCGTTAAAATCCACCTGACACACTCCTGCTGGCAGGGGTGGTGTGATGCAGAAGAGCAAGACTGGGAGAGCAGCAGAGCCAGCAGCCACCCATATGCCAATACCTACTGACCTCCACAAGTTTCATCAGGGGCACTGGGTTGAAGAAATGAAGGCCAGCAAACTGGTCTTGTCTGGTGGTGGCATTGGCTATGTCTGTGATCTGCAAAGAGGAAGTGTTGCTGGCAAAGATTGTATGTCTGTGGAGAGAAAAAACGGTGGAGCATCAGAAGGAGGCTCATGGTTGGAAGCAGTCCACACTCCCCCCAGGTGCAAGGCACAAGATGACTGCTTCCTTCCAGACCTGTGGTCTTAACCCACTGGGGAAGGCAGGGAAAAGACACGCCCTCGAACAAGAAGGCTGAACTCAATAGACCTCGGCTTTAATTAAGTTTTGAAGTTTTAAATTAAGTATAATGGAGATTATTTGTGCTAAAGGAATATTTAATCCTCATCAATCTTTCCTTAATTTTCAAGAACAAAATTTCACCTATCTACTTGTAATAGTTAACTTCTGTGGTATGCGAGAATAAGAAAAGGTGGCTAGTTGATCAAGCAAGCTACTAAACCAACCTTCCTCACAAAATGAAACTAAATAAATCAAAGATGAATAAAGAAAGGAAGGATGTATCACAGATACCTAAAATCAATCGAAAACTCCAAATAAACACCTACATCCTCAACCAGGTAATAAACACGAATTAACAACTTTTCCTTCGAGTGAATAGCTTTTTTTCGTTGGATAGGGATGAAAATGAAAACAGAAGAAAACCAACATGATCCAAAAAAAGTTTTAAGGTGACACAGGTAGATTTGGGGATGGATGATACAGGCATATACATGATACAAGTTCAAGGTATTCTGCTTACAAAATCTTTTTTAAAAGTACCACCTGCTGGGTGTGGTGGCTTGCACCTGTAATCCCAGCACTTTGGAAGGCCGAGGCGAGAGGATTGCTTGAGTTCATGGGTTCGAGATCAGTCTGGGCAACTTGGCGAGACCTCATCTCTACAAAAAAAAAAAAAAAATTAGTCAGTCGTGGTGGTGCACGCCTGTAGTTCCAACTCCTTGGAAGGCTGAGGCAGAAGGATCACCTGAGTCCAGCGGGCTGAGACTGCAGTGGCCGAGAACGTGCCACTGTACTCCAGCCTGGGCGACAGAGACTCCTACTCAAAAAAAAAAATCATCTTATTTTGCATATTTAAGGCATTATTAATTTAAAAAACCTACACTGACTTAAGTCAAATTTAATGTTTTGAGACAACACAGTGGAGTGCCAAAGGCAGGATAAGTCAGGCCAATTTCCAGGCTTTCCGACAGTGCCACCTTGTGGATAAGAATACAAGCTGGCCTGCAGCTAATTACCCCAAACCTAAGCGCCAGACTCATGGTTCCTGAAATCAGGGTTGGGTAAGAGGAGGTAAGGAGGAGAAGAGAGAAGAAATCAGCAATTTGGAGAGGAGGGAAGAGAAGTGAAAGGTAAGGACAGTGTGGGTGGGTGGGCAAGAGTCTTCCCTCTGAAGGCACAAATGCACCTGCCTTCTCTGTAGCTTCCAAGTTAGGCCATTTAAAGGCCAAGCAGAGGGCTTTTTCTTTTTTTAAAAAATGACAAATTTTTAAGGTTTTATTTAATTATTTATTTTTGAGTTGGGGTCTGATTGTTGCCCAGGCTGGAGTGCAGTGGAACGATCATGGGTCACTGAAGCTTCCAATTCCTGGGTACAGGTGATCCTCCTGCCTCAGCCTCCCTAGTAGCTGGAACTACTGGCATGCACCACCACATCCAGCTAATTTTTTTTTCCATTTTGGTAGAGATGAGGAATTGCTATTTTGCTCAGACTTTTTCATAGTCCATTTGAAGGGTTAATTGCCTACAAAAGGGGGAAACGCTGGCACATTACATCACACAATAAAGTGACATCAGAGCCCAGTGCCATGTGATTCCAGCCCAGAGCACTCTCAGAATATATCATGAAAAAGAGGAAAATGTCTCTTTCCAGCAGACCTCTGCCTCTCCCAATCAGGGTAGGTAGGCTCTGCTCCACACAGGTCTTGCTCTGCCTGTGTTCAGCACAAACACAGTGTGTTTACATATTAAACACGCAGGACTGTCTTATTTTCTACAAAAAAAATCTTCTCATATTTTCCTGGAAGCAACTGACTCTCTTCTTGACCATCTTCTGTTTTTCTCTGACACCTAGATACCCAAAAAGCTACTCTTCCCTTAAATGTACTAAAAGCAAGTCAATAGCTTGAGCAGGCTACGCCCACACCCAGGTCCTAGTATTGAGAAGACAAAATTGGGAAGTGGGAATTGCAAAGGATCAGAGAGTCCATGCTTTGTTGAAAGGGGAAAGCTAGGACTCAGTTCAAGCTGCCTGTGACCATAGTCAAGCTCTTCAAGTGTGCTTCTTAAACTGAATGTCAACTCAGGATGCAACTGCTTCATCAAGTCTTAAAAAGGAAACTTTATCACTTGAATATATTTTATTTCCCCATAATAGGATCTAAGTGTAAAACTTGGTGTAATATATGTCTCAACAAAGTTGCTTAGAAGAAAACTTAGCAAGCATTCAATAGTGGTGGTAGTCTAAAACTGTGGCCCCCAACTTTTTTGGCATTAAGGACAGGTTTTGTGAAAGATAATTTTTCCACAGACAGGGCAGGGGGTAGAGGATGGTTTGGGGATGATTCAAGTACATTACATTTATTGTGCACTTTATTTCTATTATTACATTGTAACATATAATGAAATACATAGCATCACTGCCTCAGCTTCACCTCAGATCACTAGACATTCGATTCTGCGTGCAACCTAGATTGCTCACATGCACAGTTCACAATAGTATTCACACTCCTATGGGAATCTCATGCCACCACTGATCTGACAGAAGGTGGAGGAGGTAATGTGAGCAATGGGGAATGGCTGTAAGTCCAGATGAAGCTTCGCTGGCTCACCCACTGCTTATGTCCTGCTATAAGTCCTGGTTCCTAACAGGCTACTGACCACTTAGGGACCCCTGATCCAAAATGAAAACAGAGAGTGTCAAGAAGGATGGCTGAAAGTCATATCTTTGGTGTGTGCCCTCTCACACATCACATCTGTTTTATAACAACTCAGGTGAAGGAGTCAAGCGCAGCACCTGATACGCAGCAGGCACTCAGGAGATGTGAGCTGAGTTAAATCCATTTCCTAACAACTCTGTAAAGTACATACACCATCTCTATTTACACATAGGGAACCTAGTCTTGCAGAGACAGAATTGGAAAGGTCTTGGAAATTGTTTACCCCTCACCCTTCAACTCACATTACAGATGAGAAATCCCAGACCTTTCCAATGTCAGAGAGTGGAGTGGCCAGAGAGTGGAGGGGGTGGGGGGCAGGCACCAGACCACCTGACTTTCCCCCAACAATCCTTGTGTTACCTGTCACTGACATCAGAGGACAGTAAGGCTTTTCACTGTCACCAGAAATGGCCATCGTTTCAAAACAGGCTGAACTGCTTGAAGAAATTCCCTTTTCTAAGGTGAGTGTAATCAGCAGAGTGACATACAGATGACAGAAAGGCAAATTTCCTCTCTGTTAAGGCAGGGCCCCTCTGGCCACGAGGCCACATATCCCTGAGGGCTGACGTTCCAGTAGACTGATATGCGAGTGTCTCTCTTTAGCCATTGCTCACTGGTGCTTCCTGAAAGTTATTTTTGTCATATAATCTTATTCTGTCAGTTCCAGCCAAGAAGGGTAAAGTGCAGCCAAACAAGTCACCAGGAGAGTATGAATTGCTGTCAGGTGTCACACACTTGAAGGCTATGGATTCTGAGGTGAAGTAGGTGTTGTGTGTACACAGATACAGCTGCAAGCCCTGGGCACTCCTATGTCTAGCATGGGTGTGGCTGGCCCTCCTCTGTACCCTTTTAAAGAAGTCTGGTAAGAATTCAATGCTCCCAAGAGTGTTTCAGCTTAAAACATGAGTGAGCCCTGGGGAACTCTGTGTAGACAGAAAGGAATACCCCATTCTGTTTATTTTACCCCCAAAAGGGAGAAACACAAAACCGTACTGAGGTTCCTCAGCAGACATTTAAGGACATTCCCAAGTCTCCTCAGTTCCTTACATGCTTCAAGAAACATATAGGCCTCTTCCTGGTTAGATCCCTTCGCATTCCAATGGGTGATTCTACCTTCATTTGAGGACAAGGATCATATCTGGGCAGACCCAGCCTCAGGAAGCAAACTGGGAGTGGGAGGATGGAGAACAAAGGAACCAGTACTGGCTTTTCTAGAAACAGCTATGGGGCAGTAGAAAGAGAGATGGATAGACTTGTCCGAGGATTCTTTCCTGGGGGAGGCAATCAATAAGGAGGAAACTCTGAGGCCCAGGAAGGGAGCCCTCAGAACCCAAGAAGAATATACAGGGGTCACCTACTCAGCGGCAAACTTGTCCAGCCTTTTGAAGAGCTCGTTCTTGACCTTCAGATTCTCCACGATGGCCTCCACCACCAGGTCTGTGCTGTGGACCACAGATGCTGCATCCATGCTGGTGGATATGCTGCTTAGGGTCTTCTGCATAAACTCATCACCAGCCTAGGGCAGTGGGAGGAAAGAGAAGAGAGTACTCACTGGGCTCACTGGGAATGGTGTGTGGCCTGCTGCAAGGAAGAAAGAAAGAGGAGGGCTAGGGACCAACACACCCAGACACAACCTGAAGGCACCCTGAAATCCTGAGAAGTAAAACTCCCTACATTTTTGCTTAGGAGCGATGGCATCTCAAGATACTTCTAGAAACCTAGGCAAGAGTCTGCCTGTGAACAATCCCAACTGTTGAACAACTGTCATTGTCTTGTGTGATCTTTCAAGTTCTTAGCTCTGCTCCAGTTACTAAATTGCTCACACAGATATAACCCACTATTTCCGTTCCAAGAGTATCCATAAAACCTGCAATGTATCCTTCCAGAAAGGGTAAGAATGTGGCTCAGCACTATCCATTAGTCTTAGAGGTGGTGCTGACTATTCCTCTCTAATAGGAGACAGACGAGCTGAGTCAGAGCAAGAACCAGGGTAAGAAAGCCAAACCCAGCAGTCATTCAGCAAATAACAATTGCCATCATGTACCAACAACTGGTCTTTCAAAAATGAGCTAGATGCAGGCTCTGCTCTCAGAGAGCTTGCAGTTTTATCTTTTCCTTGTCTTCCCTCCTGTGACTCCAGGTTTCCACAAATGGACCTCAATTAGAGCAGAAACACGGACAGTGTCTCAATAAGCTGCCACTTTACTTCAAGATGTAATTTGTCCACAAAGCATCAAAATAGCCATAATCAGCAAAGGCATCCAAAATCATCATTAAACAGCTAGATCTGAGCTCTTATATAGAAATATAATGGGAGATGATTGGTAGTTTTACATTTTCTATTAGCCACGTTTAAAAAAAGGGAAAAGGGACAATCCCTTTGGGTCCCCTCCCATTGTGGGAGCTTTTCTGTCCTCTCAATAAATACTGCTTTCTTTCTTTCTTTTTTTTTTTTGAGTTGGAGTCTCACTCCATCGCCCAGACTGGAACGCAGTGGCATGCTCCTGGCCACTGCAGCCTCAACCTGCTGGGCTCCAGCGATCCTTCCACCCCTGCCTTCCAAGTAGCTGGAACTATAGGTGCACACTACCATACCCGGCTAATTTATTCATTTATTTATTGTAGAGATGAGGTCTCGCCAAATTGTCTGGGCGGGTCTCGAACCCGCGGGCTCAGGCAATTCACTCACCTCAGTCTCCCAAAGCGCTGGGATTACAGGCTGAGCCACTGAGCCTGGCCTAAATCCTGCTTTAAAAAAAAAAAAAATGAAAAAGACACTAACAGGTGAAATTCCTTTTAGCTAATCCAATACATCTACACCTCAATGTGTAATCAACATTAATTGTTCTATATTCTTTCTATTAAGTCTTTAAAAACTGGTATGGATTTTATTCTCAGAGCACATCTCAATTGAGACTACTCACATGTCAAGTGCTCAACAGCCTCTTGTGGCTAGAGGCTATTGGACTGGTCATCGCAGAGCTAGTCAATATGGTATGTCAGTCAGGCAAGGTGAAACTGACATCGACCTCTCCCTACAGTGTTCCTGGCAGAGGAGAGAGACATTGGGAAACCAGACTCCTGAGGAGTTGCTAGTCAGAAGCTGAGCGACTTGAGCAAAGGGCTCATCTTTTTACCCTCAGGGTGTGGCTCTGAGCCTCAGCCCAAGGACAATCCACTAAAAGTTTACAGAGTAAACAAAGGGAAAATGCAGGCTATAAGGGTTCAAATCCACTCTGTTCTTGACTCCAACCCTCAGCCTAGGGCTGTTATAATCCCATTCGCTTAGAGCCTCATCCTAACACCCCATATTGGGGGGGCATGATTAAGAATATAAAGGACAAAGGAGAGTTTAATCTCCCCATGATATTCATTCTTTGGATTTCATAAAGGAGAGGGTAAAATCACCTCCATCCCAACAGCTCTGCTTTTAAAAGGTGACTGGACATTAGGGAAAATGCAAATCAAAACTACAATGAGAACAGGGCCCAGTGGCTCATGCCTGAAATCCTGGCAACTTGAGAGGCTGAAGTAAGAGGATTGCTTGAGGTCAGGAATTCAAGACCAGCCTGGGCAACACTGCAAGACCCCCAACTCCAAAAATAAATATTTTTTTTAATTAGTTGGGTGTGGTGGTTCATTCCTGTAGTCCCAATACTACACTGGGAGGCTGAGGATTGCTTGAGTCCAGGAATTTGGGATGCAATGAGCATTCCCATGTGGGCAACAGCAAGACCCCCAAAATCAAAAACCTCACAATGAGATATCACTTCACACCTAGGATGACTACAGTGAAAAAAAAATAAAAATAAAAAAAATAACAAATGTCAGCTAGGATGTGGAGAAATCGGAACCTTCATACATTGTTGGTGGGAATGTAAAATGATATAGTCACTACAGTTATGATGGAAAACATTTTGGTGTTTCCTCAAAAAGCTAAATATAGGATTACCATACAACCCAGCAATTTCATTTGTATGTATATACCCTAAATAATTGAAAACAAGGACCGGAAACAACAGTATGACATTGCTCACTGCAGTATTATCCATCATAGCCAAAAGGTAAAAACAACTTAATTCCATTAACAAATAAATGGGTAAACAAAATGCAGCATATACATACAATGAAATATTATTTAGTCATAAAAGGAATGAAGTTGTGATACTTGCTACAATATGGAGGAACCTTGAAAATGTGATGCTAAGTGAAATAAGCCAGATACAAAAAGATAAATATCATATGATTCCACTTACATAAAGTATGAATGTGTGAGTGTAATTAATGCCACTGAATTGTATACTTAAAAATGGTTAAAATGGCAAATTTTACATTATATGTATTTTATCACAATAAAAAATATGTAAAAAGCAACCAGACACATACTTGGATATCTCAGGTAAAAAACAGCCACATATGCTCTATTTGTACTTTGCTCTGGCTGCATTCAGAGAGAATCCCACCCAAGCCCTAAGGAAATCAATCTTAGGCAACTTCAACAAGGTGACCACAGTAAATGAAAATTCAGAGGGGACTTTGCCGTGTTTCTCACTAAATGCAAACTCCTAAGTGAAATCAGCACGGTCCAATCAGAGTTGGCAAACCAGAGTTCCCAGCCTGCTGAGATTTCCTCATGCTCTTCTAGCTCTTCTCCTGGAAAGCAAGTGATTTACCCGTATTTTCTTCTCTAGCTCATCATAATAGGCATAAGATAATGATCTAAGCAATCAAAAGTTTCTATATAAATGCAATGTTTATTATATCATTCTCTCTTTAACTTGCAAGTACAAAAATTATCTTCTTGTTTCTTCCTCTTTTATCCTTTTAGCAAAACAAGAGGTCTTAAATTCCAAATTCTCAGTGTTCTAGAATGAGCTCACTACCTGCAGAAACATTCTCTTCAACCTCAAATCCTACTCAACAATATGGTTATTTACTTCTGCTTTCTTTCTTTTTTTTTTGAGTTGGAGTCTCACTCTGTCGTCCAGACTGGAGGGCAGTGGCCGCTCCCGGCCACCGCAGCCTCGACCTGCTGGTCTCCGGCGATCCTTCCGCTTCAGCCTTCCAAGTAGCTGGAACTACAGGCGCGCACTACCACGCCCGGCTAATATTTTGATTTATTGTAGAGATGAGGTCTCGCCTTCCCAGGCGAGTCTCGAACCCGCGGGCTCAGGCAATCCACTCACCTCAACCTCCCAAAGGCGTGGGATTACAGGCTGAGCCACCGAGCCTGGCTTACTTCTGCTTTCTAATCAGCACATTTTGTGACTATGCTATTATATTAAATTAAAGGCATAGGGAAATGAGTTTTACACAAAGTCAAAAAAAAAAAAAACAAAAAGAAAGACAGCAAAGGCCAGAACACCCTCCCCGCAATGTGAAGCAGTCAGAGGACTGGTCTTAAAGACGTCGATAATAAGAAATTACCTTTGGGTTTTCTGCAAACTTCTTCTTTGAGACTTTCCTAAGGCTTTCCTCAATTCCCTTTTTGGATTTTGCCAGGATGTCCTCTGACTGGTCTACCAACACTACTGTGTGACCAGTTGCTGCTGCAACCTGGAACAAGAGAACAATTCCTTTTTAAAAGAAAGAAAACATAAAAGTCTTTTTTTTAAAAAAAGGAAAACAGTAGTTTCATATTCCACAAGTATTCTACCACCACTCCATTCAAAAAACTCAATGAACAAAATGATAAGTCAACATTAATGAAGCATACACTTCCTGCCAGGTACTGTTCCAAACCTTTTATGAAGAATACAACAAATTCTCAAAGTCACCTCAGAAGGTTAAGAAGCATCCCCAACATAACACACAGAAGCAGAGCTGGAATCTGCATCAACAGTCTAAAGGCCAAGCACTAAACCCCTTTAAATTCATTGAAATGAAGTAAGATAGAAAATTCAGTCCTCAATTGCATGGGCCACCTCTCAAGTCCGCAACAGAGTGTTCAGAGCACCTACTCCTTGGAGCTGGGTGCCCTGTGCAGCTCGGACCCCTCGGCCCTTTAAATCAGCAACAGGTAAAACTTTAACAGTGGCAAAAAGACTCTTGTCCCCGAGGACTATTTTGTGATGAAGATGCCCATGAATGTGAAGTCTTTGGCAGTTGACAATTAGGACAGGTAACTCCCTCCTTCACCAGCCACTCTGTTTATATAAAGCTGCTCAAGTCCGCATACAGCCAAGCTTAGTGTAGCCACACGATCCCTATTTCATCACAGCTTGGCAATAGCTTCGACAAGGATCATGGAATGGGTAGTGTGGCTAAAAATAGGCCATTGGGTCACCTTACAGGCAAGCGTAAGTGAATCAGTCAAGCCGGAAGCACGAGGACACATGTGACTAAAATAGTCATCAATTATACAAGAGGCCACTGAGATGACCTCAGAATCTGAGATGCCCCCTGCAGGACCACTGTTTTGGAAACTCAATGGCACCAACAGTATACAGGAGAGGGCCAGGTTAGATGGAATGAAGCTGCCTAGAGAAGAATGTGGAGAGAACAGTTAAAAACAATCCTAAACTGGGCTCGGTGGCTCAGCCTGTAATCCCGTGCTTTGGGAGGCTGAGGTGAGTGGATTGCCTGAGCCCGTGGGTTCGAGACCTGCCTGGGCAACTTGGCGAGACCTCATCTCTACAATAAATCAAAAAATTAGCCGGGCGTGGTAGTGTACGCCTGTAGTTCCAGCTACTGGAAGGCTGAGGCAGAAGGACTGCCAGAGCCCAGCAGGTCGAGGCTGCGGTGGCCAGGAGCGGCCACTGCACTCCAGTCTGAGCGACAGAGTGAGACTCCAACTCAAAAAAAAAACAAAAAAAAAAACCAATCCTAAACCATGGCCGTGAAGTAAGATTTTTGAAGTCAAGCAACTAAAACTCAAAGCAGAAAACCAATGAGGAAAAGAAACAGAAACAAGAGATCAACACTTAAAAGCAAAGAGAATTAAATTGCAAAGCAAGACTTCCAAGCAATAGTTTTCAAAATAATATGACAGGTTTTAAGTGCAAGATCAGTACAACTACATCCATGGCTTGGCACAGAGCAGTGCAGGTCTGAGCCTGCTGGCCTGTAGGCAGCATCAGCACTGCCTGGAAACCAAGGAACAGAAACGCTGCCAGGACTGAAAAGTCTAACCAGAGCAGGGTGATGGAGGTGACGGGGGCATGAGTTATCTTGAGAAAAGGACAGGGGCAAGCAGCAAGCCTGTCTGTCAGCAGAAACACCCATCAGTCCAGACCAAGGTTTCTCCCTAAGTAACAAGTGACCAAAGCCCATCTCCCCAATAACTCAAATCACATGATGCAAATTTGAACTTCCAATTAAATAAATTCAAGCAAAAAAGCAAGAGCAAATGTAGAAAGACTTAGCATGGCAAAGTGGAGACTGCCATCCTTAGAGAAAGACCTGCTTGCAAGGTTGGCTCTTGGCTGGCATCTGGAACTTGGATTACCAGCCCTTCCTCAATAAGCTGTGCCTGAAGTGGTGTACAAACATGGTTGATGCTGAACTCCTGCTTTTCTTCTGAAAAGCATGGAATTTTGGAACATATCAGGCAAAGAGTGTCTGTATGACTAGCCCCAGTAAAAACTCTGGGCACTGAGTCACTCATGTGCTCTCCTGAAAGACATTTCACACATGCTATACCAACGTGTGGCTGGGGAATTTAGTGTGTCCTTTGTGGGAGAGGACTGGGAGACGACCCTTGAAAGCTCTTGCCTGGTCTCATTTGGACTTCATCCTACACACCTTTTCCCTTTGCTGATTTTGCTTTGCATCCTTCTACTGTAACAAATTGTAATCATGAGGCCAACTATTTGCTGGGTCCTGTGAGCCCTTCTAGTGCCTTACCAAACCTTGGTGGGGAACCCTCACATATAAACTAAGAAAATAAATCTCAAGTCCCAGCTGGAGGTGGTGGGAAAACCGAACTGCTCTGGGATGGGCAGCCCTGGGGAATGACAGCAGACAGGCAGGACCGATGATCTTGGATGGGATACATCATCTGCAAAGCTCAGCAAGCAGGGTACTGGCTTGGGGACTTGCCGTTTTTGTCTAGGCTCCTCTGTCATGCAGTTTGCATAAAAACTTAAGAGGCCTGGATTCAGAGAACTTTCGGATAGCTGACCATGTGGAGGGTCCTGGAGGGTGACGCCCAGGGAGGGCATGGAAGCACCAATCACCTTCCTCCATGCCCTACCCTATGTGTCTCTTCATCTGTGTCCTTTGCAATATCCTTTATAATAAACTGGTCAACATGTTTTCCTGGGTTCTCTAAGCTGCTCCAGTAAATTAAACCCAGAGATGGAGTTGTGAGAACTCCAAGTCTCTAGAATGACAAAAGTAATTTCACTTTATTCTTCTTAACCTCTGCCCTAGTTTATCCTTTGAATAGGCCAAGCAGGATTCCTCTGATTCCTCCCTGCCTGGGTCCCAATGCACTTTCCCCCATTTCACCTCTCCAGGCATGCCTTATGCTTTTTAGCTCTTTAGGGAGGTGGGGGGAAGAGTCAAGCATGTTTGGCACAGATGGTGTTGAAGCTGAAGGGAATCAAGGCAAACAAAAATAACAAGACTCATATCCTTTCACTTAGAGAGGTTATTATCCCTCTGAGAAAACATGAACAAGCAAACTCAATAATATAAGGTTCCTGTGCTGTTATGATATATATTTCTATATATTTATTTTGAGACAGAGTCTCTCTCTCTGTTGTCCAGGGTGGAGTGCAATGGCATGATCTCAGCTTACTGCAGCCTTGACCAATGCTCAACTGATCCTCCCACCTCTGTCTCCCCAGTAGCTGGGACTACAGGTGCATGCCACCACACCTGGTTAATTTTTCTATTTTTTGTAGAGACAAGGTGTTGCTATGTTGCCAAACTCCTGAGCTCAAGCAATCCTCCCACCTTGGCCTCCAAAAGTGCTGGGATTACAGACATGAGCTACCACGCTAGGCCATGATATATATTTATAGGTTAGTTTTCTTCCACAGTTCCAGGCTCATAACTCAAATAGCCCTTGTTATGGTTTGTTACAGTGCTGGGTGTGTTAGGCCTCAGGGGGCAGACCTTAGGAAATAGAATCTCTCTGCCCTCCTGCTCTCCTTTCACCCAGCCCAAGGCAGGACTCCACTCTCCCTGCCTTCCTTTCTGACTGTGGGTCTTAAGACCCTCCCCAGAGAGGGTCCTGTTCTATACACTAGTGAAAGCAATGTTGACATCATGCAGCTTGCACAAAAACTCAAGAGGCCTGGATTTAGAGAACTTTCGGATAGCTGATCACATGGAGGGTCCTGGAGGGTGGTGCCCAGGGAGGGCATGGAAGCTCCAATCACCTTCCTCCATGCCCTACCCTATGCGTCTCTTCATCTGTGTCCTTTGTCATATTCTTTATAATAAACTGGTCAACGTGTTTCCCTGGGTTCTGTGAGCTGCTCTTGTAAATTAATTGAACCTAAAGATGGGGTTGTGGCAACTCCAAGTTGAAGCCTGTGGGTCAGAAGTACTGGAGGCCCAGCCTTGCCACTGGTGGTGGTATGGGGGCATGCTTGAGAACTGAGCCCTGCAAGGTCTGACACTAACTCCAAGTACAGAGTGTTGGGGTTGAAGGAGAACATCCAGCTGGTGTGCACTGCTTGGTGTGTGAAGAACCTTCCCCCTTACATTTGGTCAAAGAAGTCTTCTTTTCTGTAGATGATTGTTGTATGTTAGTGTGAGATTAGAGGGAAGGCATAGTTTGAGAGTTTTCCCCGAATTAGCTTCACACGTGGGATGTCAAATAAAATAAAAAACACCATGGAGAAGGGTCCTGTCAGCCAGAAGATCACAGAATGCCAGGTAAGAGGAGTACACCTAGAATAAGCCCAACTTCCTCAGGGATAAGCCTTAAAAAGGTAGGATGCAGCAAATGAAGGAGGGCTTATTTCTGGAAAGCTATTTGCAAAGTTATAATAATTACGTTTGATAATGATCATCACTGGGCATTTTCGGTTGTTGCAGGTAAGATATGACACTAGCCTAATTACTTTTTTTTTTTTTTAAGCTGTCAGCAGAACCAAACCTAGAGAGGACGTACCCTTATACATTTAAGTAAAATAAAACACACTTATGAAGACACGAAAATTCTACTAGGAAGAGCCCTGGTCAAAAAGGATGTTCAGCCTCAATGCTGACTTTCCACTTCTATACAAAGTCCTCTGATAAATACCCTCTGGGCTAATTCAGTCACTGACTTTCTTTCTCTTGGCCTCCAAATGAGCGTACCAGAGGCAACTACATATGCAGACACTGGCCAAAAAACAACTACTCAGATCAAGGCTCCCCAGGTAGTGTTTCAGGAGAGCAAAGGGCATGTGTCAAATGAACATGTCAAAGTGACCAAGTATATAAAACGTTTGTTTTTTCATCTCAACCAGAAGATACAGGAAGTTCAAGGAGGGGCCAAATCTAATAGAAAGGAAAGATAGATCTTCTTTCCCAGAGTGCTACTAACTGATCACATTCTGCTCTGAAAACTTTCCCTGGCCTCTCTCTGCCTCATGGGTCTGAAAGAAGCTATGTCT